TGTTCATTGCACTGGTTTATTGAGTAAGCCTAAATGTGCAAAATTGTTGTTAAGCACACGACTTCTTACAAATACAACAGTCCTTGTGGTATCTGTCAACATTCCCAGACTTCCAGTCTATGAAAAACTATACTTCTTGATTTCAAGAGGTTACTGTCTAGGTTGGAGCCTTTGGCCAATACTCTACTGTTTCTTAGAGACATGGATGTCCCTCTGAATGAAACAATACATTTTTACACAGTTGTTTAAATTGTCTACAGACTGCAGTATTCTTAAAACGGCATTGTTTATTCTTAAATGCTTTGACCCTTCACCTGTATATACCACTCTATTTCTACTTCATGCCACTAAATATTTCAATACATATGAAAAAAAACAGCCACTATGTGATGTTATACCATTTCTCTTTGTTATGATATCCTTCAACATAAAATGTATTCTAACAAGAAAATGTGTTGATTAACTCAAATAAGAAAAAGCCAGGAGATGAGGTATTCTAGCCAAATGGAGCAAACTCTATTTCCTTCAAACGTAGCATAAACCAAAAATGAGCTATACGTTCAATGTGCACTTTTATTACGTTGAAAACAAGACAACTTGAAGATATGGGTCAGGGAAAAGTGCACACAATATATTTTGAAAGTTATTTATAGAAATGAATAAATACTATAAAATGCTTTGAAGTCAACAGGCTTTTCTAATCATGAACAGTAAGAAAAGGTCTGGTGAATCTGCAGTGTTTTTGCATATGCAAATGACATTAAAACAAATACTCATACAAATTAGAATATAAACTTTTGCTGCTGTAAATGCTTTATTTGCTAGCATAGCACAGTTAATGAAGATAAAAAGGTTCCATAGTAAAGTAAGCAACTTCAGTTGCATGTAAAAGAATAGACAGGTGTTTGGGACACTGATGACAAAGAGACAAAGCAGGACTGGTAATTATATGATGGTAATAATAACTTATTAGTAAAGAAACAATAGCCTGAGACCTTTTCTGTACAAACACAAGGTTGTGCTTATCTTGTATTACACTGCTCTGCTCCATATTTTCCACCATTATCATCCAACCAACAAGGTCAAATCCATAATGACAACAGGCCACAAGCACATTGTATCATTAGAAAAAACATGCTCCTGAAAGAGAACGAGTAGGATTCTGGGAAAATATATAGGACCTTCTTCACATAATAAAAAAAACAATGGTTTTGGGCTGGCTATAAACAGATCCCTCCCTTATTGAAAAGGACAGGCAGAGAAAGTTCTGATTGCGCTTGTTTGCATCAACAAATTACTGGTGACTTTTATGCTTAACTAGACTAGTGTATGTTAAGTGACAATGCTAAATCTTTTGTTCTTTGCCAGTGTCAGTGTGCTCCCAAGGTTAGCATAACAAAATAAGTGCCCCTCATCCCAAGCTCAGACAGGCAGGCCATTACAGGGTACAGAAATGACAGCCGCTAACTATCAAACCTAGGGTTACCGCCTTTTAATCAACTGAAAACCAAACTATATTGGGGTAAGGAGGTTTCAACATGGTTAAACTAGTATTATATAGTCATACTGAGCATGACAAAACAGAGCCAGAATTCCATTAACATTATCAAAATCATAATTTGTTCTTTTATTTGAAAAGGTAACTTATAACTCATTCAAAGTGCAGTTTTTAGTCTATGATATGTTTCTTTATAAAGGCACTATAAATTTGTTTTTGGCACAAATAATTTTTTCATTTGGTGCTTTAAAAGCAAATAAAAGTTATTTTAAAAGTTAAATATTATTGTAAAGTATTTTAAAAATCTGCAAAACCGGTAGCATAGGGAAGAAGTAGATGCTGTATATACAGTAGTTAGTTAAAGTGTATTTCCACTTTTGCAGCCGGATTGGAGAAAACCCCATTATATGTTTATGTGTTCCCATTCACGGAGCATACAATTATTATTATTTTTTATAAATATATTTATGAGCTTTTAGATGCCTCTGTAGGAATAGGCTAGAGATAGTATATTAAAATGCAAGGTCCATGTCCATACCGTGGTCCACCATTTAGGTTGTATTCACAATAGCAGCTGCACGACAACAACATACAGCTTCCGGTGTGTGTTCCCAGGCACAGTGCTGATGCACCGATCCCCTCCATCGCACTGTTCATTTTTATTTCTTTATTTTTTTGTTAGAACTAAGAGAGAGCACAGCACTCCCTGCTTTATTCATCACAGAGCAGATTGGGGGATGGATGTTCCTCGGTTTGCTCCCACTTTCTATATAGGTGGCCCTGCCTGATGTTATTGGTTGCTAGGACATCAGTGGTCCTAGCACCCGATGACTGAAGCTGAGGGGGGCCTGCGCTGGGTTTGGCTGGCATTGGATGCACCAGCCTTGGAGGCAGCCATAACCCAGTGTAGGTCAGCAAACGCGGTCCGGACAGAACCGCCATTCGGTCCGTGTCCGGACTGCAGTCCGCTATTCAATGACCCTTGGGAATTTGTGTAGACTGCAAATTTATCTCTACAATTTCAATGATCAGTGTTCAAATCTAGATTACAGTTCATAATGGGATCTGCAAACACCGTACAGACAGGGGTAATTATTGTAAACATTAGCCTCCTCACCCCCTTGCATTTCCTTTAAAAAAGAGCAAGTAAAATGTAAGCAGCAATGTCTATATTTTTTTATTTTTCTACTTATAGTTATGCTATGTTAATGTAAAAACTTAAAATAGGTGTTATGGCAATTTGGCTGCAAAAGTGTAAATACACTTTAAGGGTTCAATGGGGATATTGGAAAAAAAAATATTATATATTATAAATGGATGTCACACAGCAAGCCCAGCCCTGCAGATTACACTGGGAGAGTAGTCCTAATACCATTTGGTTAAAGGAACCATCTCACCCAGAAAAAATGTTTAAAAGAGTATCAGTTCATTAATTAGACAAAATATCACATTCCTGCTTAGTCTGTTAGTGTACAGTATATTATTAACGCATTATTCTAAATTCAGTCTGACCACAGCCATTCTGCACGCTACATGTTTTTTTGCTATAGTTTGTCTGTGATGCTGCATCTGCCTGTTGCTGGGTGTGTTTCTGCCACACAGAGCAGAGCAGCCAATGAGGATTGTTCTGAGCATTTGTTTCTCCTAGCCAATCACTGAAAGGTACAGATCAGTGATGCATGTTGGGAGAGGATATAAATGCTCAGTGTGGCTGATGCAACAGTCTCTTCCCTCCCCCCGGGCCTCCCTGGGGGGCAGGCTGCTGCTGAGAGACTGAACTGGCTGGGCCTTAGCCTAGGGACTTACCTGAAACTGACACTGGGGGCCTGAATCTGGAGGCCCAGTGGTCAGCCACTGATTCTGGAGATGTACATAGACGAGGACTTCTGAAGTACTGCTTTGCCTCATGTTTTCGGCACAGATTGCAAGTCTGGCTTAAAGGTCCTGGTCTGTGATGGCAGCAGTTACTGTGTTCTAATTCTTAAAGGAGTCTACCTCATCCATCCTACCTCATTCCAGTTGTAATGTTGTATACATCCTGCATAATGTTTTCCAGGATGATTACACTTTTTTGATTTCCAAATTGACATACATGTTTTATTAAAAGTTCAACCCCATGCCCCAAAACTTTGATTTAAATGTATTCCTCAATAGCCACAAAGTATATAAATCCACTTTGCGTGCACCAAGTGCCTTGGTAAACCCAGATATTATCTTAAAGTGATTAGTATTACTGGGGTAGCCCATGCAGAAAAAAAACTACAGGAGGGGGGCGGATACAAGACCAGTCACCCTGCACAAGGCGAGAGAGCAGTCATGATTGGTTTTAATAATAATAAGCTTCTGCACAAAGGAAACGTTTTACACTGGATTACTACCCACATCTGGGAAAAATACACAAATTACACCAAGCTATAAGTAAGAATACACATGCCTCTTGTTCCTCTTTTTTCATCCTGGAAGTTCAGGTATAACATGATTTTTAAGCAGTGAATGTGACTTTTGAATCACTGACATATAACCCAGAGACACCAGGAAGATTCACATGCAGTAAATGTTTGATGAATGTCAGATTCACTGCTTTATAAATAGAAATTTCAGCCAAAACTTTATCTTTTGGTTAAAGTGGGGAAGGGTTTGTATTGCTGTGGCTGTGTGTGTCCTCTTTGGATAGATTTCCCTTCACATCTAGTTTTGTAACTTGGTGCAACAGATATTGGAAGTGATAGGAAGTCTCTTAGTGGGGAATAGGAGTGGGGTTAGAAGCTACATAAAGTTTGTGTTGCTGTCTATATCCCAACGATGCCTGCTCAACTAATTTCTTGTTCTGGCAGTAGCAGTAGAAAGAATATCCACAGTAGGTTCACAGAGAGTAATACAATTATTTCTAACCCTTCCCCTTTCTACCCAGAAATAAAACATATGTTGGCTCTGGACTTAAAATTAACCTATGTCTTGCCCAGGCAGATCAAAGCAACAAGTTCACTTTATGGCAGCTCCCACAGGTGCTAATACTTGTCTTCCCTTTAATCCAATGTGTTATTTCCAAGTTGTTCTGGGCCAAGAACTCTCTCCTCTTCCTCATGCAACAGTGCTGATTGCCTTAGTGGCCAATTGCCAAGCATCAGTGCTGTTATATCTAAGGAGAGTGTGTCATATACTCCACAATACCTGAAGGTAAAGGGATTATTCCTTCATTTCTGGGAGCCAATTGAAGCAGTGGGATAGTGAAGGGAGGATGAGTTTTTCCTGCTGTGGGTCCTCCATCAAAGTGAACCTGTTGCTTTGCTTTGCACAGGCAAAGCATAGGTTCACTTTAAAGATTCTCCCCCAAACCTCTGAATTAATTCCACATTTGACAAACCACACCTATTTTGTTAACCCCTGCTTCATTTTGCTTTATAAATCTAGATTGTGCCACCAAAATAAGGACATTTGGGGGGTATACATTCACAGGATTTTTAAACAAGTGTAAAGTGTAAATCATGAGTGAAAATCTTACCTTAAACTCTTTCTCGATATTGGCTAACTTGGCTAACTCATTGCTCAGCTCCAGAGCAGTGTGCACAGGATCTTCACTGGAAAGAGATAGATAGGCTGGGCTAGCCAGTCCCTTGTAAGCATTAATCCTGGACCTTGAATGGCTAAATGAATCATGCTTTTGCTTTTCCATGCAATCACTGCACTTGCAGAAATAATCATGAGGCCGTTCTATCTTTGCTCCTTTTACTAATAACATGTGCACAACTTCGTATTTCTGGCAGTGAGCAGCAAGAATGATGGGTGTGATGTCTGGGGAGAACCTCGTGCCATCCTCATCATAGGAGTAGAAGTCATCATCCTGTAGTTCCTGTTCACACGGGCTGAGGGTGAGTCTTTTGTTTGCTGCAAAGGCAGGATGATTTAGGATAGCTTCAACTATTCTTATATACCCTTTACTAATTGCTAAAAGCAAGGCATCTCCAATCCGTGACAAGTTTTCCTTCTTTAGTAAAAGCTCACTTACTTCTAAATGTTCATTTCCTACAGCTAGCTGCAAGGCATTCTGTCCCATGTAGTCCATACAGTTGACATTTAAGGTCTTAGACTCCTCTAGCATTTTTCTCACTACTGGAATGTTTCCATACTCTGCTGCATCCAGAAATCGTTCCTCCTCAGGGGTCATGCTTGTTGCTCTGTTATTAAACATAAATGCAGGACCACGGACAGCCTGTCTCCTTCCCTTTTCCCGCATCATGGTCACTCTCCTTACAGATGGACTGCCCTCACCTTCTCTAAAGAGAAAAAAGAGAAAATGAATGTTACAGACAACACATAACAATGGTCACTTGCATTCCCTTCATGTATTTTGTGGTGTTCACTCTAAATGACTATTCATTAAGATAAATTGTTTGTGCAGTTTTTCTTCTGAGCAATATACCTATATACAAAAGTATGAATGCTGGCCATTTTTTTTTACAATAAATTGCACTTATAAACAGTAAAATGTTAACACATTTTAACACATTTCTTCTAATCCCCATGAGAGTCTAAAATCCTGATGACTCAAAAGGTTTCCTATATATGATCTGCATAGGATGATGTTATTATCATTGTATAACAATAAAATAAATAATAATAATGTGTGACTTAAGTCAGGAGGATTATTAGTTTTCATTGTGGATTCTTAGGTGTAGAGTTTCAGTGAAGGTTATCAGGTGCTATGGACTTTTTTGTGTAAGAATGTCCATTGTCTATTGATGGTGTTATGGCTGTGATATTACTGTATATAATACAGATCTAGTTATGTTCTAGGTACAGTATATGATATGTATGTAGTGTACATGTGAAAATGTATTTTTCATGTTTGGTCATTTACTTTTTTGTCCCCCAAGGTACTTGGCACTGAAATGATTGTGCCCAAAACTACCACATCTTAGTAACTGCAGTAATATACTACTAGTCACCAGAAGCATCAAATATAGGACTACAAATTAACATTGTTTGCTCAATGAACATATTATAATGTTTGTTTGTTTTTTTAAATGATGAAGCCAAACAGGAAAAGGAGTGCAATTCTGTTACGCAAGTAAAAGAATGATATTCCTAAGCAGGTCAAGATTAATATACAGCTGAAAAGGAGTATTTGAGTCATGGGCACATAGCCGCCCTAGATACTGAATATGTGCCACATCTTCATAAAAAGAAATATATTCGTAGTCAATTATGCCTGATGGAAATGTCTAAAACTTTCAGGCTTATAAGCCTCTAATGGGGGCAGCCATCCTCCACACAACGGTCCCAAGGCAGAAGAGCATCTGTTAATTTTTGCTACAAATCTCAAGTCTAGTCTTGGTCATTAGGGGAGCAAGTAAAAATATGCATTTAACCACATTGCACTGGTATACTCCTTATGGATCAGAGCAATTTTATCAAGCAGTAGATATAGGCAAACAGTTTAAAAAAAAAAACTAACCATCTGCCCCGTCAGCCCTGCTATTGGCTCCTGGTTAGGGAAGCTTCCTGGTCACCTTGGCAACCAGGGGATGGTCCTGGGTTTCCTTGGGTATTTAATCCAGTCAGAGCCTTGGCTTGTTGCTGAGTTATTCTACCTCTATGGTGTGATCACCAGCTCCCTGTGTGTGAACCTGTTGCTTCCTGAACCCTTGCCTGAACCCCCCTTATCGACCCTTCGGCCTGCTTTCTCGCTTCTGAACCTAGCCGCCTGCCTCGACGCGGACTTGGACCTGACTACGCATTTGGATTTCCCTCTGTACCTCGTTTTTGGACTCTTTGTCCCTGCCAAGGGGTTCCACTCACGGCCCAGCCGTATACCACTGACACAAATTCCTTTAGGTCACTCAGATGTGCCAAAAGGTAACCTTGTCAGATTTAAAAGTCTCTTTGGATTAACTAATCTCTACTCATTGCTTCTGATGCCGTACAACAAGGGTACTAGATGTATGTTAAGTTTTCCCTGAGCTGAGGGTCTATTCATAAATTACCAGAAATTCCTGTATATGGCCAGCTTTGACTGACCATCGAGTCAAATAATTAAAACTAGGGATGCACCGATACTAGTATCAATATCGGTGCCGATTCAGAGTATTTGGGCAAGTACTCGTACTCGCCCAAATGCTCCGATGCCTAGCACGAGTACTTCCGGTATCAGGAAGCCGGGCAGCGCGTCATTACACGCTGCCCGGTTTCGCGATTGACCGGAAGCTGGCCTCGTGAGGTAAGGTTACCTTACCTTAGTATGTGTAGCCATCATCCCCTGGGGCCTCTCCAGCGAGAATGCGGCCTTCGTCCGGTACCCAGCCCGAACCGTCCAATCAGGAAGCCGGGCGCCGTCTAATGACTTGGCTGGGAAGCTGGCTTCATGCTCCCTCGTCATCTCATGACAAGAGAGCATGGAGCCGGCCTCCCGGCCAATCAGAAAGCAGGGCGTCGTGTGATTACACAGTGCCCGGCTTTCTGATTGGCCGGCTAGACGGCTCCGGCTGGGTACCGGACGAAGGCCGCGTTTTCGCTGGAGAGGCCCCGGGGGATGACAGGCTGCACATATTAAGGTAAGGGGGGACTTTTTTGTTAATCGGGAAGCCGGGTGGAGACTCTTTACACGCTGCCCGGCTAATCAGGAAGCCAGGTGGCGAGTCATTGCACGCCACCTGGCTTCCTGAATGGGACTTCCGTTACTCGGTAATTGGTATCGGCGAGTACCAAATTTTTTTTATCGGTACTCGTATTCGGTACCAAAATACCGGTATCGGTGCATCCCTAATTAAAACCATGGCATGAATATTTTCCCTTTTTTACTTGCTTGATTAGATGTCTGCTTCCACCAGATATTCAGAATTGCATACACATAACCCTGCAAATGAGATACCAACTACCTTATAACAATACAATTAAATAATGGCACTGATTCAGTAAGAAAATGAGAACAGAACTAGAGCTACTGCCTAAATTAGAATTTGCAATTTTCCAAACATTCACTTGTATGTTTGTAGATACGAATGCTTGGTGTGTTTGCTCCCTTAATTGAAAAGAACTGATTAAAATTACACTAAATTTAGGAGGTAAATCTTAAAAATACATCCAAGTAACCTAACTATTAACAAAAATGTATCTTATTTGTGTATCACTCAGCTGTATATCCTCAAATCATCTCTGAATTCATGCTCACACTGTCCTTTCTTCTGGACGGTGGCTACTTTTGTTCCCCATGATCCCTATGTGTGTTGTAATGTAGCCGCCTCTCCAAGCTCACTGCTGTGATGGATTACAATCTCAATTTTACTTTACTAATTTGTATTGAGATTGTAGTCCATTACGGGAGCAATGGCTACTGTACAACAAACAGGGATCATGGGGAACAAAAGTAGCCACCCTCCAGAAGGAAGAACAGTGTCAACACCAATTCAGAGATGATTTGAAGATCTACAGCTGAGTCATATACAAATAGGATACATTTTTGTTAATAGTTAAGGAACTTGAATGCATTTTTAAGATGTAACTCCTGAGTTTAGTGTCACTTTACGGCTGCTCATAGATGGCTAGATTTTTCTCAGAGGATAGCACATGATTTACCCACCCCCAGAACTGCCATTACTTTTTTTTTGCAACACATGCGGTAAACCAATTGTTTGTATGAAAAGAAATGATTCTGAATAAATGGCAGAAAGTTTCTAGTACAGTTTCCTACTGAATGAATAAAATATATGATGTGTATAGTTGCCTTCCATTTCTTCCCCTGTTCTCTGTTCAGCTGCCGGGAGTGTTATAAAAGCCCTTTTAAACTGTGAGTCCCCTGAGTATATTCCAGGCTATTGACTCCCTTGTCCAGCACTATTTCTGCGAATCTGCCGCTCCAGGCAAACGCCTTGTTTGCCTCGCGGCAGATACGCCCCTGGGTATCAGGTATTTCCTTCAGCCCCCAGCACTGGACGGAGAGGTGGGTAGAAAAGGAAAGTAAATGCTCGGGATGGGGGATTAAAGCAAACCTGTTGCTTTACCTTTTCAATTATATAATTTGACAATTAAGAGCAAACTACATGTCTACTTGATAGCCCATACGCCACTTCTGATACATATCTTCCAATAATTCCTCCACCACTTTATTTGCCCGGAAGAATCCCAAGGTAAAGCCATGTGTTAGGTTTCAGCTTCTTCTACTTATACATGAGATTGTGAGGGCTTGGTGACTATCCATTCAGATCCTGAGCACTGTATTATAGGAGATAAGGGAGAGAGTCACAAGCTTCCCCATACCTAAAAGTAAGGGCTCATTTAGAAGAGCCCAAAGGTCCATACACTGTAAGAAAATGCGCAGATCTCTGCACCTGGAAGCACCTGGAAGCCACAGCTGTTGCATACAACAAGCCTGTATAAATCAATAACAGGATGCTGCTATATGCTGGTAAAGTGTATCATTGCATACAGCTTTTTGCAGGGATATCCCTTTGTATAAATAATATTACAGAAGTGTAGCACTACATTTAGGGTATGAGCTGCACATTTTTAGATGCTGGACCACTCTCCAAGTTTTACTAATCAGCTTTAATAAACATCTGAAATTATTTAAGGGTCATGATTGTTGAATCAATTAAACCTGGTAAGAAGGTTAATGGTATACAAACAAAATGTATTGGTTTACATTGAGTTTTTTTTTGTTTACTTACCTTTTGTCTTCCGGCCAGTCCCACAATATGCTAGTTCCTCATTCTCCTCAATCTTCTGCCGACGGTGGGAAGTCCTGGATGATGCAGAGAGCGCCACTAACGCGTTATCATTAGTGTGGCTTTCTGCATTAATACACTGTAGGAGCAGGTCATCATAATCAGGCGGCGGGACCATGTTGCTCTGCATTTACAGTCTTTCTCTAGTCTTTCAGCTTGGGTGATGCCCAGATCATGGATATCTTGGTGGTAAAGAAAAGGTAATGTGGGGGATAGCTCCTAATTGCAGGTGTGTATTGCAGCCTGCACTTTTTTGTTGTTGTTGTTTTAAACCACTGCCTGGGGGATACTTAAAAAAATAGACAACAAGTTGAGGCATAAGATTGCTGTTTAGCACCCAGGGTGCTAAACATGGGGCAGGAGCTGCCATATGAATTGATTGCTGCTACATTGGTTAATTATCTTAGAATACCCGGGCTTAAGCAGACTAGTGAATCTGGCATACTAATTAAAATACAGTGAAAAGTTTCATTTGTAATTAAATATACAGTGCTTTAGAAGAAAGAAGAAAGTCAGCCATAGTTATATAAACTTGCACACATTATTCAACAGTA